TCTGGTGATCCTTCCGCCTCAGCCTTCCAAGTAGCCGAAATTACAGGCATGCGCTACCACGCCCAGCTGATACTTGATTTATTGTAGAAATGAGGTCTCGCTGCCCAGGTGGGTCTCGAACCTGCAGGCTCAGGCAATCCACTCACCTCAGCTTCCCAAAGGCGCGGGATTACAGGCTGAGCCACTGAGCCCGGCATAGTTGAAGGCTTTTAATGAGATGGCATTCCTTTCTCCTGCTACTGTTTTTCACCTATCCCTGTCCCCTAGAGGCAACCATTTTTTTCAAACTCTTTAAACTGTTTTTTATGGCATTTACCTCTTTATTTCTTATAATATACATATTTTCTCAGTTTATCATGGCTAGATATAACCTCTTGACATTCTAAAAGTGATGATTTAGCTATCTCTTTTACTGTCTAATGTCTCTCCATGTAGTAAACTATTTTTAATTGATTATTCACATTATGACTATTTGCGTAATGCAGAGTTACCAGTGTTCTGTAACTTTGTCTTATTCTACTATTTTCTTTTCTTGGAGTTAATAACTGCTCTGTTCACTTACTTGGCCTCTGTACCTGTTTCTTCCCAAACAGGGAAGACTAGAATTTTAAAAATGAATAATTGCTGACTGTTTTCCAGAGGTCTTTTTAAAAAGTTATTCATTCTGTTATGTCTTCTGTACCTTTTTCACGATTCCTTAGACTAGAGTGGGGTTGAATTATTCAGAACTCCAAAGATCTAGAGAGGTGAAATCTAACTTCTGCCATCTCCACCTTGACACTGACTCTCCCAAGCTAAGAATTGGCCAACGATTGCCTTTTTAGCTAGCACAGGAACGTTCCATTTTTAATTAAAAGGATATAAGTAACTGGGTTAAGCCTATCAATTATAAGACAGGCACCTATTCCAAAAGTTAAGGTAAAGAGGACTGATGACATGGCTATTAGAGAATATTGATCTTTGGGTATTAACTGTTTCAGCAAGCTCTTGGTTTCACCACTGCTAAAATAAGGAAAATGGAAATATTTGTAATTGATTTTTAAAGGTCATTAAGCTGTTTTCAACACTTAAGAATATTTTTTTTTCAAAATAGACGTTATGATAGTGTTATAAATCGACTATACACTGGTATTCAGTGCTACTCTTGTGGAATGAGGTTTACAACATCACAGACAGATGTATATGCAGATCACTTGGACTGGCATTATCGTCAAAATAGAACTGAAAAGGATGTTAGCAGAAAAGTCACTCATAGACGATGGTACTACAGTTTAACAGTAAGTAATCCATATGTCTCTGAACTAGCTTTTAGGCTTAAATTATACCATTCTAAAAGTAAATCAGTTTAAACAATTGCTGAAAGCTAACATGTAAGTGTTCTTAGTAAAATCTGATCCCTAGGCTATAAACAGTTTTTTTAAATCGGAATTTTTTAAGAGTATGTGTTTTTGTTGAGATTACAGTAATGCACAACCTTATTCTATCTCTAAAATTCCAAGGTTCTATGACTGGTGTTTTTGTAAAAAGCTGTATTTGAAGTTTATTTTGTTTGAATTAGTAGTTATAGTAGAGGTAATGGAAAACTAACATTAAGATCTTAATTGTTCACTAGTTGCTATATGTTGTCTATTAGGTATAAGGGCTCAAAGAGACAGTATGATTTGAAATAATATTAGAGCATATTGTAGAAGAATGCACTCTTACCTTTAAATGGCATTATGTTAAAGATAAGCAGTAGACGATTAAAAATAAATGGAAATATTCTTTTAAATCAACTCCTTTTAAGGACTGGATAGAATTTGAGGAAATAGCTGATCTGGAAGAACGTGCAAAGAGTCAGTTTTTTGAAAAGGTACATGAAGAAGTTGTGCTCAAAACTCAGGAAGCTGCTAAGGAAAAGGAGTTTCAGAGTGTACCTGCTGGACCTGCTGGAGCAGTTGAGGTAAGAGATGAATGTTTAAACTTTCTCCCTTTTGGAGTGTCCCTCACTTCAAGTAAATAATAATAAACATATCACTTGACTTTCATCCGTCTTTTAATTATTTTAAGATTTCTTGTAAGCTTTACTCTTTAATTTTACTCTTAAGTTTGGCTTTGTAGATGACTGCTGTAAATAATATTGTGACCAATAGCAGTTAAATGTTTACTATTTTTGCCTGATTGACAAAATCCTTAAAATATATCTTTTGCCTGTTATGTATTCGACGTTATGTAAACTTTCAGAACACTCTTAAATTCCTTACTCCATTTAACCAAATGTTTATATATTTTTACTTAATGGGATTAAATGTTCTAGTTTGTAAAATTCATTTTGTGTGATTATATTTTAGAGTTGTGAAATCTGTCAAGAACAATTTGAACAATACTGGGATGAAGAAGAGGAGGAATGGCATTTAAAAAATGCTATTAGAGTAGATGGAAAGGTAATTTTGTTTTTTTATAAGGAGTGGTAAGATCAGCATTTTTTTGTTGAGGTAGTGCATTACTTTGAAAGGGTCATAATCCATTTTTGGGGGTCTTAATGAGAAAAGTATTGGACTTTACAGTCATAGGATATTTGAGTTGGAAGAGATGTGAGGAATCATGTGGTTCTATACTTATTTTATATGGGAGGTTGCATAGTGAGTTAATAATAGACCCAGGACTAGGCCTTCTGAATCTAGTTAGTTGTCTAACCACACTATTTTGATTCTGAATTTATATCACCATCAAACTATACTGTCTTAAAAATCAAGTGAGGCTAGATATCTAAATTTGCCAAGCAAGTTTAAAGTCAGTTTTTCGAACTCTTTTAAGGATGAAAATTTTTAATTAAAAAATGAGCCAGATGTGGTGGCATGTGATTATAGTCCTATAGGACTAGCTAGCTAGGAGGCTGAGGCAAGAGGATCACTTGAGTCCAGGAGTTTGAGGCTGCAGTGAGCTATGATAGCACCACGGTATTAAAGTCTGGGCAAAAGAGCAAGACCCTGTCTAAAAAAAAAATTGAGGATGAAAATTCTGGTTTTATCCATTTTTGTGACCTTTCCAAAGATAACTTTTTGTTTAAATAAAAAAGAAAAATCAGAATAACCTATTAGAAGTGAACGTGTGCATACTTTTGTTTCAGATTTATCATCCATCATGTTATGAAGATTATCAAAATGTAAGTTTCTTTTGGCTAATGTATTTTTTTATATTAGTAAATTTTATTTTTTTGCATCAGAAGAATATTGTTTTAATCTTAATATATTGAACTGTTTTTTCTGTTCTGATATATAGCCTTTAGGTTGTTCACTGTATACTTATGCTATATTGATAGATCTGATACCCATCAATATATCATTTTTTGTGATATGCAATTTAAAATTTGAAATTTCTGTATCATTCCTTGCAATTTATTCCTTTGGATTTTGACGTGTTTTTTTTTTTATTAGACTACTAGGCCCAGAGAAATGTGAGGAAAACTGAAGTGAAAAGGATCATGAGGAGAATAGGTTTCTAGAGCTATGAGTACCATTTACTGCTATTTTTTTCTTACATACGCCACTTAGCTATCTAGTATAGGAATACTTTTTAAATGATCACATATGAAATCTAAAAAATACCACCAGTTTGACCTAAAAAGCTCTTATGTCATATTTGTAGTTGTGACTCTTTTCTAAACCAAGATTGATGGAACAAATGGATTTTCAAAGAGAAGATGGGTTCAAGAGGCAGTTTGATGTATGTAGGTCATCAAGAGACTACAGTTTAAAAATCAACAATTGAAATTAGAGTAGTAACAACCCCCCCACATATGTAGGGTTTACCATCTACATAGAGATTAAGTGTAGAAGTGTGTCTAATTGACTTTTTTTTGGCTGTTTGTTACAACTTAGCTTCTACTGCTTAGCTTTCTTCTAATACTCAATGTACCTTTTATTATTTCGATGCCGAAGCAAGTACTTCAGTTGCATTTGGTATATGTGTGTTCCTTTATCAATACTAGGGTCTTATAAAACTAGATGCTATTTCATATGGTAATTCTGAACTTTCATCAGTACTTAAAGGGCTTTTCATTTTGTAGACGTCGTCATTTGATTGTACACCATCTCCCAGCAAGACACCAGTTGAAAACCCCTTGAACATTATGTTGAACATTGTCAAAAACGAATTGCAGGAACCCTGTGAAAGTCCCAAAGTTAAGGAAGAACGAATTGATACCCCACCAGCTTGTACAGAGGAAAGCATAGCAACACCCTCTGAAATTAAAAAAGAAAATGATACAGCCGAGTCAGTTTAAATAAAATGAGAAAGGTATGTTTTTCTTTTTTAAAAAAGCTGCTGTTGGATCTAGAAGGTGAAGAATTTTTTTTATGTATATATAGACATATCTATATAAATTGTCTAGCTGAGGCAGGGCCTTCAGCTATCATTTGGTTAATAAATACATTTTAGTATTTGCATTTCCTACTGCCTGCACAGTTTCAGGTGCTTGTTGTGTGAAAGTTCTGTAGATGTGTGCAAATTTAACAAAATGAAATTGTATGTGTAAAAATGTACGATTTTCACTTGTGAAACTGTAAATTATAAATAAAAAATATTTTTGCTATCCATGGAGTGTAATATTTATGCACACCATCAAATAAAGACAGTGTTTCTGTACTTTTTATTGGGTAAAATGGAATTGAACAGCAACCTCAACATAAGGATTTTTACCTAGTAGCCTCCCATGATTCAAGAAGCAAAGTCTGAAGTTTTATCCAAAAAGGGGTTGTGAGAGAGCACTGCAGGACTTTTCTCAAATAGAAAAGCCAGATTTTGAAAAAATTTTAAAAATGAAATAGAACATCTCTCTCCAGCTTATAGAGAACCATCCAGATGTTCATTTTTGGACAGTATCTAATGAAGCAACTTTTATTCTTGAACTTGGACACTGATGCCATCAAATAATTAACAAATAATATATTTAAGTACTAAATGATTTTTTTTTTAAACATTTTTCAAATTGTCAAACGATTTAATGCAGATGAACATATTTCTATTTTAAGTTACAGGGGAATTTGTAAGATGTTCACTTGAAACATGGTTAACTTTTTTCCTTTGTTGGTTTTGACTGAATTAGATGGATACCATGAGATGTTAATATTCATACATGTAATAAATAGAATGATGAAGAAAAACTGTTTGTATTTCTTTATTTCTTGAATGACTTTAGAATGTGACTTTTCTCTTTATGGTTTCCTTTCATCTCCGTTTATAAAAAACTGAAACTATTATGAGCTAGGTACTCTGAGATAGGTTAACCTTTTCTGCCATTCATTGGAAACAGGCACACTGAGTTTTATCGAGCACTTATTATTTGGTAGGTGCTAGCAGACTTTATACATATTATTTTCTCTGGTACTCACACCTAATGATAGATGGTAAATGGTGCCCTCAGTTTATAGATGTAATTAGACCACCCATTTAAAAAGTTGTACAAGAACTTGAACCTGGCTTTGTCCATTTTATTCCCCATACCAAGTTAATGCTAGGATGGAAATAGGACACCAAACTACCTGAAGGTGGATTAAGAAAGACATTGCAGAGGTGGTGCTATCTGAATCTTGGAGGATAACTAGGAGTGGAGACCGATGACCAGGGGAGCCTCTAGAAATTTTAAACAGAAGTAACATCCTATCTGCATCTAAGTGTGTGTGTGTGTGTGTGTGTGTTTTTAGAATCAAGTGAATAAAAATTTAGATAATTAAATGCTGCAGAACTAGTAAGAATATCCGTTAGATTTAAGAGTTATAAACACATGATGTGTTAACTGAACTTATGAAGGCAAGACTTCCCTTCCTGTTTTAAGTTTTTCTGGGAAGATCACCCATCATTTTTATCAAATGTTTACAAGTACGGAACATTTAAAAGGAAGGTGACATTCAAACCTACAAGTGAACCAACAGGATCCACATAAAGGGAAAAAGGGCCAAGGATGGGGAACAAACAGACTGGTGGGAGGGAAGATGAGAAGTAAATAGGAAAACTAGCAATAGGAAAAAAAATTTCAACAGATAAATCAGCAAAATAAAGGGACAAGAGATTATGGCAAGTCTGAGAAATATTCCCTATTGACACAACAGCTGAGTATGGGTGCCAAAGTCAGGTAAATAATGGGTAGTGTGAGTGGGAGGTAATGAAACATTAAAAGCTACTGTCATGAAACTTCAGAGATTAGAGATGAAGTTGTAGTTAAAATCAATTTTTTTTTAAGACAGAGACATTAGCAAGTGTGTTATAAAATGAGCTCAGTGGAGATGGATTGAAGAGATGACTGATTACATCTGTAACAACTGGTGTGAGATAGAACCAATAGCAGCACAGGAGGGATTAGCTTTGGAATGGAGGATGGCCAGTGTTTTCTCTGAGGTGGTCACTAGTATTTATAGTTGTACCTCTGCTCCAAGTTTGACTGTGCATTAGAATTCCTTATAGTAAATTTATAAAAATTCCTAGTATTAAAAAAATATATAGATGGGAGTCTCACTGTTGCCCAGATTGGTCTTGAACTTCTGGGCTGCAGCCACTCTTCCACCTCAGCCTTTCATAGGACTTCAGGTAAGTACTACCACGCCTGGTTTAGAGTTATTAACAATGAAGGTTAAATGAGATTCCTACTCTCTGGAGAGTCTCATTAGTAGATTCACATTTGGGGGCACCTCTAATATTTAAGACACACCACAACACTGAGTTTGGTAATCTGGTAACACTAAAGTGCAAGGAAAGCAGAAGGAAGCCTCACAGAAGATGGAACATTGGCTTCTGAATTAAAAGTTAAAGAGAAAAATAGTATATTCCCCTAAAATCTAAAGATTTCATTAAGTTTATAACCACCTGTTTTTAATGTAATTTTCTTAAAACTTTCTACTTTTGATATTTTGAAAAATACAAATCAATGTCACTGTAATTCAGCTTTAAAAAAGCTTTGGGAAGAAAAATGAGTTAACTATATGTTTATATTCTCATCTAATGGATTAGCCTAAAATAGAGAATTCTGTTACTTTTTTTGTATGGCTGATTTTATAGACTAGCACCAAATAAGTGCCCTAATAGAGGTTCATACAAAATATTAAGGACAATCTAAGGAGGCATCTAATTGTGCCTGCAAGTGGAAAAAAGATGTAGCTAGGACTAAAGAGGTAACATGGAGGTAAAAAATGGAAAACCAGAAGGATAGTGTCAAGAAAGATCTGAACTTCTGTAGACGTGGAAAGTTTTCTCACAACCCTAAAGAGGGTCAGCTCCCAGACATAATGGGTACTTCGCTGAGCAGATGAGGAACAGTACGCTAGGAGACCAAAAAAAACTCCAAACAAAAACATCAACAAAAGCAAAAACAGCCCATGGGGTACCCCAATGAGGATTTGGGGGTAGATACCAAAAGGAGAACAGGAATGCCTGGGAAGCAAGAGAAGAGGGCACATGGGCAGAAGTAGGTTAGAGATTGTTAATTAAAAGTACTTCATTTTTTTTGCCTAACGTTTGGCCTTGCTCCCTCCTCTGAAACTGCTCTATTACCTCACTTTTGAAAAACTGAGGTAAAAGTGAAGAACTTATCATATTTACTAATTGGAACCAGAGCCCCCTATTCACAAAGTGTTCTGATTCTCCGGAATGTTGAGACGCCCACCTCCAGTGTGTGTTCTGAACCTTGGTTCACTTGAGTAACTTCCTTCATAGTTACTTACCTTGAAATCCTGTACAATCTGGTTTCTGCATCATGACTACTTTATTAAAATTGCTCTCCTGAATATAATCAATGATTCCTTGCCAAAGCCAGTATGCGCTTCTTAGTCTCTTAAGCTCTCTTGGACCACATATCCTGCCTTAAAATTACATTCTTTTGCTTTATGTGTTATGTTTTTCTGTGCTGCTATATTTTTTACTTTTTTACATTAAAAAATAAAATACAAGTATAAAAAAGTCTCCTTTTAGACCCTGCCTTGCTCTTAAAGTAACTTTTAAGTAACAATTTGGGTTTTTTAATTTCCCAGTTAAAAAATTTCTTTTACCAAGTAATTTTTAAAAATTAAATGAGATAATACTGTTTTGTACCTTTTTTACTGCCTATATCTTACAACTCTTTCCATGTTGATTAATGCACACAGATCTGCTTTTCTACCACTGTATAGTATTTTGTATTAAGAATATAGCAAAACTTAGTCATTCTTTTACTGATATTCACGTTTGTAGTTATTTACTATTATAAAGTGTTGTAATGACTATCACAGTACACATAGATGAGCAAGTTATTCTGAAAGTTTTGCCACTAGACAGTTGCATGGGTAATGCATATTTTAAATTCTGGCAAGGTGTTAGGGTTAGGGTTAAGCTAGCTTTGATATTGGGAAGTACTCCATCATTCTCTATGTTTTGTTTCTGGTGACATTTCTGACTATTTTAAGATAGTCTTTTATGATTATCAGTTTATTAAGGTTTTCTAACTCTTGAGCCAATTTTTTGAAATTTGTATTTTCCTAGAAAATTGTCCAAGTCAATTTTCAAGATTATTGGTAAAGGCTGGGCATTCCCAATTTAAAATCCAAAGTCCTAAATGCTCCAAAATCTGAAACTTTTTGAGCACTGACATGATGCCACAGGTAGAATATTCCACACATAAGTACTCATCACAAACTTGCACAAAATTATTTAAAATACTGTATAAAAATACCTTCAGGCTGTATGTATAAGGTATGCATAAAACTAATGAATTTTATTTAAACTTGGGTTCCAGACCCAAGATATTTCATTATGTATATGTAAATATTTCAAAATCCAAAATCTGGAAAACTTCTGGTTCTCAACATTTTGGATAAGGAATTCTCAACCTGTATAAAGTTACACAAAATAATTTATTTCTGATTTTCAAAGTCTCCTTTATATCTGTAATATGTTCTCTTTGTTTCCAATACTGTTTTCTTTCCTTTTCTCCCTCATATTTGCTGAGAGTATGTATTTATTGTTTTTTTAAAAATATTAGCTATTTCTAGAGTCAGTTTTGTTTTCTATTTCATTAACTTCTGCTTTTATTTTAAATTCCTTTTATTTTAAGTTGACTTTGGGAGATTTTGCTTTTTTTGCTTTTCTCCTGTTTCTGTTTCATTTTCTGATTTTTCCTTTCATGTGTGTATCCTTTAAGGATTTGTTATGTACTGCCTCATTTCCTCAGTGAGTTTATCCACTCTACTGCATAACAAAAAAAAATAAAGCCTTTACCATTATATTTGGCTATAAACACTATTAATTTGGAGTCAGTCATTGTTGGTTCCAATTTCCCAACTCCTATTTATGTGGTCTTGGTCAAATCTGAGCTGTTTCTTCATCTGTAAAAATAAAAATAACACAAATTAAGTTTGAAACTATTTGCAAATCATTTAGCATAGAAATTGCCCACATAAATAACTCAATACACGTCTGGTAGACAAAAGGCCCCAGATGCTTCATTTCTAAAAAAAAAAAAAATGAGGGAATAGGGATGACCAATCTCAAATAGTCTTCCAACTATGAAAAACTTTATTTTTAGTCTATCAGTTCACCCAACTGATAATCAGCTGATCAATCCACCCACTCGCCCACACAATAATTACTTAGCCCTTCCCTTGAACTAAATATTCTAGACGTTAGGAATGTGAAGATGAGTAAGATACAGTCCCTACCTTCCAGAAGCTCAAAGTCCTTGGGGGGGGCGGGGCTAAGAAAAAATTGTTAAACAGAAAACTAAAATATACTGTAATAAGTGACCTATAAAGGTTGTGGGAATTCAGAGACTTTTGAGGACATTGTGCTGCAAAAATCAAAGACCTAGGTTGGCATCTTAATTCGGGTGTTTACTACTTACTAGCTGTATATCCTCAGACAATGAATTTTAATGTGCCTTATTTCTCTGTAAAAAGGAACTGTAATGCTTATTCTGGCAGGTTACAAACAGAACTGATTCAAGCTCATTCTTGTTGGTGAAATAACTGAAAAAGAAAACTAATACAAAGCACTTAGTACGGTGTCAAACTTGTCACATAAACTCAATAAACAGCAGCTGTTGATATTACAAAGGTGACAAAGGTAAAGAGAGGCAATTTACTATACCTGCAGAGAGCAGATGTAGGATCAGGATTTTCCCAAATGTGTTCACAGAACAAAACTGGGGGGAGGGCAGGGCTGTTCCTGTTAAGAACAATATATACAAAGGCACAGAGATATGAAAAAGTATGGTATGTTTCCAGGACCTCAATTATTTCTGAAGGGAGATGAAAGGCAGTAAGGACGGGAAAAAAAGGGCTGAGGGGAAAATCGAGGTGGGTGACGCTCCTGGAGGGCAGAAAATTATTAACTTATGCATTTTCAGTTGACAGCATAAAACCTGACCCAGACGTTTTCAACAAACAGTGGAAAAACTCATTCCTATCGTTAAGTGATCCGGTTAGAAAGATTTAGGCCTAACTGTGGAAAATAAATATGTTATAGTGAAAAGAACCTTGGATTTGGCGTCAAGAGCCCTCGAGCAGTCTTTTGATAAATGATCTGTATTTTTACACTGGCTTTACAAATTATCTGTCCTTAGGAAATTACTGTTAACTTGAGTTTCCCGACATATAAAATGGGGATAACACCTAACAAGCGATTATCAAAGAGTCTGGCACTAATACTCACCAATGACCGGATGCAGCTGCTAACTTCTCCTTTAGGCCTTTTTCTATACTTGTGAAATGATAGAGTAAGAACAAATTTTCTCACAATCAGCACGGAAAAATATACTAGGTTTGCTCAAGGACAAAAAGGCCCCGCCCGGTCCGCGCCATACAGGTCACTTACGCAGACTGTAGTCCTTGGGCCTCCACTTGAGTCGCTGAGCGATGGTAGAAGCGATCGATGACAGGCCATTCCAGAGTCGGGCCTAGATAGGCTCGTGCGAGATCAAGTAGAATTTCACCAAAAAACAATTCACACCAGCACCCGATTTCGCTAGCTGGGGGAGCCTTGGAAAAAGGCGGAGGAAAGGAGGCCGGAAGTGACGTGAGCCGTGAGGAAGTGGAAATGACCTCAGCGCGCCGGAAGTTTGCTCGTTTCCAAGGCGACGGCTCCGCCACCGCTCCAACTAAGTGGCGGGAGTCGGGAGGCTGGAAAGCAATTCCGATAAGTTCCCCATCGGAGGCGGCCGCCGCCACAGCGACTTGCGGGCAGTAGCAAACGATGACGGCGGCCGCCGCGCTGGCAACCACGTGTGGGGGATAAACGGCCGACACGGCCATTGCGGCGCCGAATCCAGAGAAGGAGTTAGCGTCGACTGCGAAAGAAGACGCGAAGACGGTGACGTTCGCTCCGGGGTCTCCACCGGAAGAGTAAGCGAAGACACCGGCTTCTTCCACAGTGACTCGAGAAGGGTCAGTGAAGACCTAGGTCGCCCCTGCAGTGTCTCTCGTGAGAGAATTAGGGGAGATTGTGGCTGTCACAGCAGCTCTCGGGAGAACGTAAAGGGAGGACACGGATTCCGCAGCAGCAACGTGAATTTAAGTGAAGTCGGCGACCTCCAAACTAGCGACTTCGGGGGAGTAGGCAGAGAAGACCGCCTCAGTGGTACTTGGGAGGGAGCCAGTGAGGTCCGGGACTTCCGAACTAGTGACTCCGGGGATAGAGTCAGTGACGACTGCAGTCGCCGCCTCAGTGGCTCTTGGGAGGGAAGGAGTGTTGATGGCGGCCACAACCCCAGTAGTTCTTGGGAGGGAGTAAGTGAAGACCCGGGCTACGCCGCCAGCGACTCCTCTGGAGTGAGTTTCAGTGAAGACGTCAACCGCCGCTTCAGTGGCTTTTGGGAGAAAGACAGTGAAGACGACGGTTCTCACAGCAGGGGCTCGTGGGAGAGGACAGGGGAAGGCTGTGGCCTGCGTCCTAGTGACGACGACGACGACGAAGGCCGCTGCCGCTGCAGTGACTCCTGGGTGAGAGCAAGTGAAGACCACCGCAGCAACAGGGGCCTGGGCTCAGCTCCTCTCCAGAGTCGGAGAGGTTGTACCATGCCCGGGGTGGACAATTCAGCTCCCTCCGCTCCGTCTAGCAAGTCTGCAAACCCGTGTAAGTCAGACTGTTCCGTTGGTCTCGTCTTTGCAACACTCCTTTTTTTCCATCAGCCCTCATAAGTCCCAATCCTATCCCTTTCTGGCATTTCCCTTTCTCGGTTGTCACTCCTTTTCCTTTTATATATTTTCAGTGTTCCCCATTCTACCTCATTTCAGCTTTCTTCTCTTTTGTTTTGCTTTCCATCGACACCATTTTTCTGAGACTTCTTTCCTAGCTAGCCATCCACTTTGTTCACTCTTATGGACCCTTTTGAGTTCTTACTTGACGTTCCTGCAGCTTTCAATCCTGTGGAGATGATAAATTAGACTTACTTAGTTTTCTTCTTCCATCCTCTCTTTAAATGCTGCTTTTTCCCTCTTTTTTATTTTTATTTTTTTTGAGTTGGAGTCGCACTCTGTCACCCGGACTGGAGTGCAGTGGCCGCTGTCACCAGACTGGAGTGCAGTGGCCGCTCTCGGCCATTGCAGCCTCGACTTGCTGGGCTCCAGCGACCCTTCCGCCTCAGCCTTGCAAGTAGCCAGAACTACAGGCACGCGCTACCACGCCCAGCTAATTTTTTTGATTTATTGTAGAGATGAGGTCTCGCCAAGTCACCCAGGCGGGTCTCAAACCATCGGGCTCAGGCAATTCACTCACCTCGGCCTCCCAAAGCGCGGGATTACAGGCTGAGCCACCGAGCCCGGCCTGCTTTTTCCCTCTTGATGGTACTTGTTATATATTAATACTTGTCATATACTCTGACTTCTATCCTACTTATGACCCGCAAATCTATGTTATTCAGTCAGCCATCCAGTAAATATTTAATACATGCCTATCATGTGTTGTGTCTTAAGGCACTATCAGTAGAGGGGAGTTTATTGATTGGGGAGCAAAAAGGCAAGACTGGAGAGTCAAGGAGACCATGTAAGAAGATTATCTTACAATAGTCTAGGCGAGAAAGGTGAGCCCTCAACTAAGAGAGTGGAGGTGGGGACAGAAAAGGAGACAAATTCAGCAAATTTCAGTGGACAGAGGATGAACTAAACTGGCATGGATACAGTGGATGAAATAAGGGAAAAGTAATGGGATAAATCCAAGGTGTCTAGCTTTGTCATTTGAGTGCTGTGCTGCCATTAATTGAAACAGCTAATACTGAAGGACAGAGAGGATGTATGAATACATGCTGATATTGAGATGCTGGAGGAAGATTTCCAGAAAGGAGACATATATATAAGTCTGCAGCTCACAGGAGAGATATAGAATTCAGGTCTCAGTGTCTCGGGTGTGTCTCAGTATAAGCTTTTTCTGACCTTCACATTCACTCCACACTGGAACCAATGGCACTCTACTGTCCTTTATGACACTCATCACACTGGTCATTATTTATTCAGTATTTATCTACTAGAAGGTAAGGAATGTAATTGTCTTCTTTTCATATATCCTAATTGTTCAAGGTCTTGCTCAAATGTTTCTTGCTCCTCTATGACCCCTTTGATTTCTCCTTCTTAATTTTACCTGCACTCTCTGAGGACATTGGTGTCAGGTTTTTGTTTTTATTCTGTTTTTCAAATAATTTTAAAGTGATAGTGGAAAGAAAAATTAAATTCGTGCCTATTTTCCATCTTGTTATCATAGTGTCTGGCACATGGTAGATGTTCAGAAAGGATTTTTGAATACATGTATAGCATTTTGCTAAGAGTTGATGTGAGATACAATTCTAACCCTTAAGGAATTAACATTCTGATTGTGGAGAGAGGATATATACATTGATAAGTAGTAGTACAAAGTTGCATAGATCATTTGTCAGAAGTGTTGATGGTTTGTTTTCTTTTTTGTTTTGAGTTGTAGTCTCACTCTGTCGCCCAGACTGGAGTGCAGTGGCCACTCCCGGCCACCGCAGCCTCGACCTGCTGGGCTCCGGCGATCCTTCCGCCTCAGCCTTCCAAGTAGCCGGAATTACAGGCATGCGCTACCACGCCCGGCTGATTTTTTGATTTATTGTAGAGATGAGGTCTCGCTGCCCAGGCGGGTCTCGAACCCGCTGGCTCAAGCAATCCACTCACCTCAACCTCCCAAAGGTGCGGGATTACAGGCTGAGCCACTGAACCCGGCTTGAGTTGTTTTCAATACAATTTGAGATCAGGAATCATGCCTTTTTTTGGCTTGTTTTGTTTAGGGAATGCTTTGATTGAATTATTTACTCCCTCCTCCTCTACTAATTGTTCATGCTTAGATACCTTTATTGCCTCTGGTTCACAGTGCGCATCAATTAAATTATAAAATATAAGACACTAAGAGTATATGAACTAAAAATTATGACCTGACATTTCTTTCTGAGTGTCAAGACATATGAATTAGAAATATAAGAAATATAATGATAAAATGTATCTATGTATATGAGATAAGGCTCTGATAGTCTTTTTCACTAGGGAGGCCTTTGTTATGGAGCATATTTCAGTGTGGTTCCTTTCCCCATCTCCCTGCCAAAGGCGTGAATTCTTGGTTTTTCAGAGTGATAACCTGCTGGGATTTCTGAAGGTAAAATCTATGCAAGTGTAGGATTTTCTAAGACTGGGGCCCCTAGAAGTTTCTCACTCCTAGGCTTGTAGATACTCAGTTCCTAGCAAGTTATCAAAAATGACCATTTAAGTGCTTCTACTAGTTTATTGCTCAAGCTGCTTCTACTCCAGATAAGCTGAACTTGAGTATTTCTTTGTATTTGTCTGTCTCCAATTTGAGGTGGCAGTTTGCCTTGAGACCTCAATTCTCTGATGGGTCCAAGAAAAGTTGTTGATTTTCAGTTTTTTCCTTATAAGAATGGGAGTATTATCCTCCATACTTTTTTACGTGTCAGAGTTGAATCTGGGAGTATGATTAAGAAATTAATAACAAACATCTTTGTAGTATATTATTTGGAAAGCCAGAGTGATTTTGTGTTCTCTGGATCATTGCTTTAATCTTTTTTTCTTTTATAGTTTTGTAGTGCATTTTAAAGAATTTGATTTTCTGGTAGGTGCCAATAAGAACGTGCATTTTGGTAGCATACATGATGCTGTACGAGCTGGAAATGTGAAGCAGCTTTCAGAAATAGTGGAACGTGGAGCCAGCATTAATGAAGTTGATGTTCTCCATAAATTTACCGCTTTACATTGGGCAGCACACTCTGGCAGTTTGGAGGTAAGAAGCTATACAAATTATTAAACTGAAGTAAGTTTACAGTTATAGCAGTTTTGTAAATTTAGGAAACAGGGCTGAGACCGTATGCTAGATACTGCAAATATTTTCTTTTCAGTCTAATTCAGTTTAATATTTGGGTATTCTGCTTTTCTAAGGCTTTATAACAAATTTTCTCAAAACTTAGTGTCATAAAATAACCAATTGTTTATTCTTATAAATGAACCAGATATTGGATCCCAGGGACAGGTTTCTTTGTTTCATGATATATGGGGGCTTTAACTAGAAGATTAAAAAACTGGGGTTGGAATCTTCTAAAGGCTTATTCACTCAGATGTCTGGTGGTTGATGTTGACTCTAGACTAGGACCTTAACACCTTTCTATGTGGGCCTGTTTATGAGGTCTCTCCACGTGTGCTTGTTTGCATTTCCTTACAATATGGTGGCTGTGTTCCAAAGGTAAGCCTAGAAGAAAACTTACAGAGGATAACTATGAATACCAATTCTTACATTTTTGCTATAGTTGCTTCAGATTTTTAGAAAATAGATGAAATATTGCAGGTACACTTGAAGTTCCTGAGTACCCTCTCAGGTAGCATTCCTCTCCTTCCAACTCCGGATGTAACTATTACCCTGATTTTGTTGTTTGTTATTCTCATCTATGTTTTATATTATTATTACATATGATTACATATGATTACATAATTGTTTTAAAGACATAATTTACATAAATTACATTAAATTATGTATATCATTCTTCAGCTTACTTTTTTTGTTCAATAATATGTTTTTGAGTTTTAACTATGTGGTTACATATATGTACTCTAGTTTATTTCTTTCAGCCATGTTGTCTGTTCTTTTCTTAGACTGGTATCAGAATTTATCTATTTTTCTATTGATGGATATTTGGTTGATTTTAATTTCCAGCTAGTATAGACTGTTTAGTGAATTTTTTAATGCAAGTCTTCTTATTCTTGAGCTGTGAACAAGGCTAACTGGAATTTTTCTCATGATTCAAGATTATACGTGGGCGCTTATTTTAGCTACTACATTTCTCCAGCCTGTAAACTACAGGCAGTAGTTCTGTTCACAATGCAGTTTCTCTTTTTCAACAGACTATTTCTAGTGATATGACCGTTCTATATGATTTCTTTTTGTTTGTTTCTTTTTTTTTGAGTTGGGGGTCTTACTCTATTGCCTAGGCTGGAGTGCAGTGGCAGTATCACAGTTCACTGCAGCCTCAACCTCCTGGGCTCAGGCAAGCCTTCCACTTCATCCTGTCTAGTAGCTGGGACTACAGGCACATGTCACAAGACCTAGCTAGTTTTTAAATTTTTGTAGAGACATGGTCTCTGTATGTTGCCTAGGCTTCTTTTGAACTCTTGGGCTCAAGAAATCCTCCTACCTTGGCCTCCCAAAGTGCTAGGATTAATAGACATAAGCCACTGTGTCTGGCTCTGTGTGATTTCTTTATTTGGACTTCTCTGCTGCTTCTACTTCTGGCTCAGAAACTCTCCCTTTACCAGTTTGTGTGCCTCTCTTGAACTGTATTGTAAACAAGGGATTTTCACTTTGTCTTTTCAGTGGATCCTGATGGTTCCAATTTGTAAGCTTGTAGCCCAGGGCAGGTGTTGTCTCTGCTGTTTCCTGCCACATCCCTGTCTGATCTGTATTTTGGCATGTTTTGTTTTGTTTTTGTTTGTCTGTTTGAGGTTTGATTTATAGATGTCTCCTAGTTTCAACAAGTTGGAATTTTCTTTCTGTTTTTCTTGCTCTTTGGTTTTGGGTGATTTTGGAGAGAAGACGGAAATACTGATTTCACTCTGCCATATTCCAATAGGATATCTGGAGGTACCATTTATTTCTTCTCTTTTCTAGTGCCTCTTCAACCTCTCTGATTACTCTCACTTAACCCTTTGTACTTGGAGACATCTCGTGGGTCACCTGCCAGTGACTTGACCATTCTTTTTTATGAAATATTAAATAATATAGAATTGAAACCAATTATTTTATTGTAATGTTATTTGGCTTGTAATGGAATTTGGGACACTGAGGAACTTATTTATGACAAAAAAGTCAAATTCTTGTATCTTATATTTTTCTAACATGTGGTAACATGTGAAAGTTACCAACATGCATTGCAAGTTTCATTGATACATGTTGTACAATAGCAATTTGTTTGAAGTCTTCTACCTGGTGTTTTTCTATTTGAGTAGACACTGTAGTCTCATTTTCTTCCTCCCACATTAATACTGTGTAATTTATTGTCCAGTCTGTTGTTCAAAAAAGATATGGAAGGATGTACTCGAGATTCCTGAAAACCACTTCTCAATTGATCGGTCATGTCTCGGTTATTTTATCTCTTTTTTTTCTTTTTCATGCAGTTTGAATGGAAAATTTCAATATATTTGAATGGAAAAATATTTTTTTGAAAAATTTGCACTTGTATGAGTTTGTCCTGTATAATCTTCAGCAATCTCTTTATGTCCTCTGAGGGGGACACCAGATTTGTTTGCTAGGTTTATGATGTCCCCTCAGAGGGGACATCATAGTTCAAAATCTTCTTTGATTAACTCACTGTTCCTGATCTGTAAATATGAGTATAGGTATTCTTTTTTTTTTCTTTTTGAGTTGGAGTCTCATTCCATCTCCTAGGCTGGAGTGCAGTGGCATGCTCACGGCCACCCCAATGTCGACCTGCTGGTCTCTGGTGATCCTTCCGCCTTAGCCTTCCAAGCCGCTGAAACTACAGGCTCATGGTACCATGCGCAGCTAATTTTTGATTTATTGAAGAGACAAGGTCTTGCCAAGTTGCCCAGACTGGTCTCAAACCCGCAGGCTCAGGCAGTCCACTCACCTTGGCCTCCCAAAGTGCTGGGATTACAGGCTGAGCCACCGAGCTGGCCTGAGTACAGGTATTCTTTACACTTCCTCTATTAGCCTTTTCTCTTCTACTTTATTCTTTCTCTCCAGGTGATCTTTTAGACTTCCTTGACTTTATCACTTCTACATGACTCATTTATTTGCTTTTTCTCCTACCTTTTGGGCTATATGTCAGGTGCTAGATCACTAGCTTATGCATAGATTGCTGGCATCTCAAATTCAGTTGGTATAAAACTAAAATAGTTAATCTTTCCCCTCCCTTTCTTAGATTTTTAGGGCAATAACTTTTGAATCATTATTGACTTGACTCAGTATTTCACAGAAGCAAAGCATATTATCAACATTTGTCTAGATGAAGGTATACTTAAGTCATGATACATGTTGATGCAGTGAGAACTAGTTATTAGGTCAGTTGATTCCGCTCCATCTTTGCCTCCCAGATTTGTCTTCTTCATTCTCATAGCCATTGCCTTAGGTCTAATGGTTTACCTTCTTTTTTGTCTTATTTTTGTCTTATCTACCTCTAGCCCATATTTTATATACAAAGCTATCTCTGTCATACTAAAATCTGATATTACTTAAGACCCTCCTTAAAGCCTTGTAGTAACTCTCTGTTCCCTATAGGATAAGGTTCAAGTCCTTTAACACGGTAGGCTTATCTCTCCAACTTCATCTCCCATCATAATTGTTTTATGCTATAGTGCTAGTGACTGTTATCATTTCTCAAACTAGTCTACTGTTGCATGTTCTATAGACTTTGCACTTGCTGCTTCACCTGCCTGGTCTTACTTCTTTCCACTTGTTACCTCATTGAGAACCAGGTCAGACAGTATCCACTTGGTAAAGCCTTCTGTGTTTTCCCCCATCAATATTTTCCAACTAGCTACTGACTCCTTAGTGCTACCCCTAAATCTTATACATTAAAAAAATTCTATTTATCACATTGAATTGTGTTCTCTATTTGATTTTGAGCCCTTTGAAGGTATCATTTCGATTTTACTCATCTTTTTTCCATAACATTCAGCATAATGTCTGGCATGTTGGAGGCACATCATAGGTTTACAGTAAATGTTTGTTGTGTTGCTGAATTTGTTAAATTAAATTTATATTTATATTTTGAGTGTCTTTCACAGTGTCTATCAGATGTTCAATAATGTGTCTTTCACAGTGTCTATCAGATGCATGTTTGTTGAATTTTAACAAAAATAAGTGTAAACAAAAAAAGATTTTAGTGCCTTTAAAAGGTCATCTCCTGAATCTCTACCTGAGCATTGCATTAACACCTTTACATTTTGTTATCCTTTCTGAATATTTATAAGACTTGTGGTACTTATATGTTGGTAATATGAAATAATCACCAAGTAAAAAATTGCTGAAAACTATGTTATATTGGACTTTATTTTTTCAGACAAAATCTGCTACTGAAACTTTGTAGTGAACTTTTCATTTTAGGTATACTTTTCAACTCCAAATTTCTCATTTGGTTCTTTTGTAATTTCTATATCTTTATCTATATTATCTGTTTGATGAGTCATTGTCATTATAATTCCCTTGAATTATTTAAACATAATTTCTTTTAATTTGAATATATTTATAATAACTGCCTTGAAGTCTTGCTGAGTCCAGTATATGGGTCCCCTCAAGACAGTTTCTATTGATTGCTTTTTTTCCATGTGTGTGCGTTACATATTCTTATTTTTTTGCATGTATTAAAATTTTTTAGAATGGCTTTACATTTTGCAAACTGGACATTTTAGATAATATATTGTAGCCATTCTGGGTTCTGATCCTTTTCCTCCTTCACATAATGATTGTTGCTGTTTGGTTTTTTTAGTGACTTGTTTGGACTAATTATATAGAAGAGTCTGTTTCCTTCACAGTGTGTGGCCACTGATGTCTCTGCTGAGCGTTTTTGAAAAGAAAAAAAAAGATTATTTATTTATTTATTTATTTTTAAGCTTTACTTGTAATGGGGTCACTCCTGGGCCGACATAGCCTAGTGGTCAGCTAGTGATTGATCAGAGTTTGTGTTTAAATAGCTTGAGCCAGTAAGGAGTTCATCTTTTATCAGTGGGTCTGTGTGTAGCTTGGGGAATGTTTTCAAAGCAGTTAATAAATCAACCTGACATTTAAAAAATGTGCTTGCAAGGCTTCGTGCCTAGCTAGAGATGACTAGCCAACTTAGGCCCTCTTCAGCCTTTCCTGATTGTAAGCAGCCTTGTACTTGCATATAGCTGTTTATATCACAAATGATAAACTGAATCTTTGCAAGGCCCATTTTGGCTCCCTCATTTCTTGGATTTCCCTATTAACTTTTGGGGTAACTTTTAGTTTTATTTTTTCCAAGTATTGTGACAGACTGGCTCTAATGTTGGTTTTCTCAGTCGTTGGCCACCGAAATGAGAATTGTTTCAATGATGTGCCTGGGTGTGTGGAATTTTTTATGATTAGCTTCAAATAAGGTCAGTCTCTCTGGCAGAAAGAGAATGCTTGAGTTGAACTTCTGTACTGTGGAATTGGAGGTAGGAATAGTTATAACCTAAGGTTAAAACAGCACAGACTCCCCCTGTTTTTACTGAGATTCAGTAGATTTATTTGAATAAATGCTTCACATTTTGTTATATTCCTTTGGTTAATTTCCAGAGTCTTTAAATTGTTGTTTTTGACAACTATGTCTCATTTTATAATTGCTTCTTGTGGAGGATTTGGCAAACTCCTTATTTTGCCATTTCTGAAGTCCTACTGATTGATCAATTGATTTTTGACAAAAATGCAAATACAATTCAATGGATAACTGGTAGTACTTTCATCAAATGGTGCTGGCACAATCCGACAGTCATATGTAAGAAAATGTACCTCAACCCATACTTGACACCATATGCAAAAATTTATTCAAAACAGATCACAGGTAAATATAAAACTTAAACTTATAAAACTTATAGAAGAAACAGGAAAAAATGTTTGCAAATCATATGGTTGGCTAAGAACTTGTAACCAGATTATATAAGGAACTCTCAGAACTTAATAGTTTTTAAAAAAAGGGGTGGGTAGAAGACTTTAATTGGTACTTTCTCACAGAGAACATATGGATGGCAATTAAACATATGAAAAGATGTTTAGCATCATTAGCCATTCGGCAAATATAAATTAAAAACACAATAAGATGCCACTACCCACCTATAAGAATGGCAGAAAAAAAGGAAACCAAAAAATTAACAATACCAAGTGTTGACGAGGATATAGAAAAACTGGAATTCTTACACACTGTTGGTAGGTACAGCTGCTTTAGAAAACAATTTGGCAGTTTTTTAATAAAGATAAGCATGTACTTATTTTATGTCCCAGCAATCTCTCTTCTACATATTTATCCAAGAGAAATGTAAAACCAGTATGCAACTGTTTATAGTGACTTTATTCTCCAGTACCTGAACAGTGCTAACACATAATAGTCTTTCCATAAATATTGTTGAATAAATGACTTACTGTGATTATTAATGAGATTGAGATCTTTTTCATATTTTATGTTCGTTAATCTCAGTGGCAGGCAAACGATACTTACCCAATAAGCCATTTTAGCAAATAATATGATTATAACTTATGTAAAAATGTGTCCCAGTGTTATGATCAATTATATTAAAAAGAAAGATGTGGTAGAATCTAGAAACTTGAACATATAAAGGCAATAACATCATATGTGATTTATACCTTTAAGTACTGTATTATATTGAGATTTAGGTTAATTTTTAAAAGTCTGAAGATACATTTGACTCTTTTTTTTAATAAACAACTTTTTTTTTTTAGAAAGTGTCTTCAAAATAACAATGTTATAAAGACTGATATAAAAGCTTCTGGACCCATTTAGAGATCTGTGTTAGAGATTGCAAATTGATAACCATTGAGTGAATGTGATTCACAGATGGGTTTTGTTTGACTTGCATGGTATTGGTCAGATAGAATATTTATGAACATAAGACTAGCATTTAACTCAGCAACAACTGCCTGTAGCTGAATAGCATCTACATCTATAGTCAAGAAATATGGTCTCCAGTTTGCCAGAGTTTCTATTATTCCCTATTGTTAATCCAAAGTGAAGCTAAATGTTGGTATCCATGTCTTGGTGTTGTACTTTGTTTTTCTTATACTTGACTCCCTCATTCACTTATGATGCTTCTCAGGCTATAGTGAGAATTTCATAATAGTAGACTAAATTTTAAAGATACAAAAATGTTTTTAAAAATCTACCTTTTTACTTGTTAACATGGTTATCTTCTTAACTCAGTGTCTTCATTGGCTGCTCTGGCATGGAGCTGATATCACACAAGTAACAACGAGAGGTTGGACAGCAGCTCACATAGCTGCAATCAGGGGTCAGGATGCTTGTATACAGGTAATAATAATTTTATTCAGTAAATTCAATTACTTTAGTGACTGTTGCTATTATTCTAATTATTTAATCCGATAGGTTTAGTTATATATTCTAAACAAGAACTTACTGGACTCCATGACTCAGATATTTTGATTCCAGTATCCATTTAAACAAATGGTCTAAGACTAGAAATCCTTTTCTCTCTGAAGTCGTTGCCTATTTGTTTGGGTTGTTTTGAGAGATGTCACAGTCATACCTAGATGAGTCCTTTATAGTTTGCTGCTATGATCTGAATGTTTATGTCCTCCAAAATAAATATTTTGAAACATTACCCCAAGGTGATGGTATTAAGAAGTGGGGCCTTTTGGGAGGTGATTGGGTCATGAGGGGTTTCCCCTCTTAAGTGGGATTAATGCACTTATAAAAGAGACCCCAAAGAGCTCGCTAGTCCCTTCCATTATGTGAGGATGTGGTAAGATCTATGCAGAATGGATTGTCATCAGCACAGAAGCGGCCAGCATCTTGATCTTGGACTTCCCAGCCTCCAGCCTGTAAGAAATGAATTTTTGTTGTTTATAAGCTACTCAATTTATGGTATTTCATTATAGCAGGTCAAACAGACTAAGATGCTTGCTGTATCTGAAATTTCTGATTTAATATATTTCCTGGCCAGGGTAACACATTAATATGTGGTAGCATCTAGTTTATTAATTATATTTAATTAGTGTACTGAAATAGACTGGAATAGACCGTTCCTGCCTGTAAAGAAGTCTGAGAGCCTATATGAAGGGACAGGAGCTCTACTTAGTGAGTTACGAAACAATACAAAACAAAGTCTTTGATTAATGTTCTAATGAAAAGAATAGATGAGAAGAATCCTGAAACTTAGGAGGAGGTAGAGGAATCATAAATGGAAGAAATAAAATATCAGCTAAGCCCCAAAGAATGGGTTGATTTTAAAGAGATAAATAGTGACAAAGCATTGTAGGCAAGGAATATGTTAGGAGCAAATAAAAATAATTATCATCATTTATGGAACACTTATGTGTCAATCACAGTCTCTCATGCATCGTCTCATTTAACACAACAATTCTATGAGTTCCTTTTTTTATAGATTATGAAATGAATTCAAAGTATTAAGTACCTTGTCTAAGCAAGTGATAGAGCAGGATTTTGAACTTGACTTGTGCTATTACTCTATGCTGTACTTCTGTGTGAAGCCCCTTAATTGTAAAATTCAGATGTGATCAGAGTATATACCATTATATAAGTTTGAGTATAGTTGGTTTGTAGTATGGACTGTTATGAACTAAGTTTGGATAGACCAAATTTGTAAAATGGCTTAGAAGTAAAATAAATATTTTGGATTCATTTGTATAGGAAAGGAAGTTTTTATATACATTTTGTGTATGTATACACACACATATATACATACACACACATTACATTCACATGGACATTAATAGGAGAAAGATAACAAAAGCAGTATTTCAGGAAATTATTATAGTGTGTTCAGGATTATCAGAGATGAAGAGAGATAAAGGTAATAAGATTAGTTAGAGATTTTTGCTGTAATAATCAAACTAAAGAGGGTAAAAAATTAGGTGATGGCAGAAGGAGAGAATGAATATCAGTCCTCAAACTTCACCTATACAATGATTATAACGTACCTAATCCTGAATTGCACCCCCACATCTTTAAAATAAAAAAAGAAAAGAAAACCAGTCAAGATAGCTTGCAAAGCAGGCATTGGCAGAGTATAGTGAAAATTTAAATTCTGTGTTAGAATAATAGATGATTATGACAGAATGACTAGGGAAATCGAAAGGCATGGAAATCTGGGAAGGAAAGATGTTGAGTTCATTTTGGCATATGTTGAGTTTAAGCTGTTTGTAGATCGTCCTCATAGAGGAGGTCCAGGCCATTGAAAAGGGGACTAGAAGTACAGATTTCAGGAGTAGTAAACTATAAAGAAGAATTTAGAGTGTCGAGGATTGAATACTGAAAAATGTTACTGGTAGGTATGAAAGGAAACAGACATTAGTAAAGAATTCAGAGAAGGAAGATCAGAAGAAAGATAGGAGAACCAGGATCAATTAGAGTGAAATTGAAGGTAGAAGTTTATTTTAAGAAGGTGGTCAGAATGTCAGTTACCTGATAAAACTAAGGGAAATAAAGCTTAAGGAAATGCCACTGAACTTAGTGGATAAGTGCTCACTGTAGAGGAAGGTTGGCTGTATTTCTGTGTAGTGGTAGGGATGGCACCCATTTTGCAGGTGGATTTGAAGTTGAGGTATTGAGGTATTAACTTGAGAAGCTAGGCAATGAAAGGAAGGAGAAAATTCAGTAGAAACTTTAGAGGGCATTGGGGTCAAATGAAGCTTTCTTTGCAGCTTTGCTTCTTCTAAGTATTATTTAGTCACTCTCTTTGCTTTGATTATCCTTCTCTTCCTCAGCTTGATCTCTTCCTTCTCAGAGCTTTTGTGGTACTGTGCTGTGTAGTTGTTACATCAAGGACTATTTTGTATGGTTGATTATCTTTATGTATGTCCTAATTTCCTAAGTTGATAGGTCTTATATTCTTTGTGACTTTTAAAACACAGAAGCACTCAGTATATTGTTTATGATGATGATTAGCTAGTTAGCTAATAGAAATCAGATAAAATAATGATTATTTTTCCTAAAACCCTTGATAGGAATTATGACCGAGTAAACCTTTACTGAGATACTGGTAAGTTTAGGTTGGTTAAAAAAGAAAAAAAAAAATTATCAGAAAAACAAAAAACTAAAAAATGATTAATAGTTATTTTTTTAAAAATAGACTTTATTTTTTAGAGAAGATTTAAGATCAGCAAAATTGAGCAGAAGGTACAGAGATTTCCCATATAACCCCCTGTCCGCACACATGCATAGCCTTCTCTATTATTAGCATCCCCCACCAGAGTGGTATATTACAATTGATGAACCTCACAGTCATCTAAAGTTCATAGTTTTCATTAAAGTTCACTCTATTTTTTTTTTTTTGAGTTGGAGTCTCACTCTGTCGCCCAGACTGGAGTGCAGTGGCCGCTCCCGGCCACCGCAGCCTCGACCTGCTGGGCTCTGGCGATCCTCCCGCCTCAGCCTTCCAAGTAGCCGGAATTACAGGCGTGCGCTACCACGCCTGGCAATTTTTTGATTTATTGTAGAGATGAGGTCTTGCTGCCCAGGCAGGTCTCGAACCCGTGGGTTCAGGCAATCCACTCACCTCAGCCTCCCAAAGGCGCGGGATTACAGACTGAGCCATCGAGCCTGGCTGTTGTACATCCATGGTTTTGAATAAATTTATAATGACATATCTACTATTATAGTATCATACAGAGTAGTCTCACTACCCTAAAGATCCTCTGTGTTATTCATCTTTCCCTTCCTCCTAATCCCACAGTCCTTTATCAGATGTGTCTTTTGCAGATATTTTCTTCCAGTCTGTGAATTGTGTTTTTATTCTCTTGATAGTGTCTTTTCTATTGCAGCAATTTATAATTTTAATGAAGTCCAGTTTATCAGTCCTTTTATGGAATGTACCTTTGGTTTTGTATCTTAGAAACTATCATCAAACCCTAGGCCATCTAGATTTTCTCCTGTGTTGTTTTCAAGGAGTCTTTATGTTTTGTGCCTTGCATTTAGATATGTGATTTATTTTGAGTTAATTTTTTGTGAAGGGTATAAGGTGTGTGTTTAGATTCATTGTTTTCGCGTGTAGATATTCAACTGTTCCAACAATATTTGTTGAAACGACAATCTTTTTTCCATTGTATTACTTTTGTTCCTTTGTCAAAGGTCAGCTGACTATATTTATGTGGGTTTATTTTTGGGCTGTCTGTTCAGTTCCATTGATCTGTTTATTTTCTCTTTGACCAATAGCAATCTATTTTGAATAGCATAGCTTTATAATTAGTCTTGATGTTGGGTATTGTCAGTCTTCCAGCTGTTTTCTTGCAATTTTATGGTGGCTATTCTGGATCTTTTGCCTCTCCTTATAAACTTTAGCAATAGTTTGTTGACATCCACAAAATAGCTTACTGGGCTTTTGAATGGGACTGATAATTCTTTTTTTTTTTTTTTTTTTTTTAATAAAGATGTAGGGTACGGACCCGCCTGGGCAACTTGGCGAGACCTCATCTCTACAAAAAAATCAAAAATTAGCCGGGCGTGATAGCGTGCACCTGCAGTTCCAGCTACTTGGAAGGCTGAGGCGGAAGGATCGCTGGAACCCAGCAGGTCGAGGCTGCGGTGGCCGGGAGCGGCCACTGCACTCCAGTCTGGGCGACAGAGTGAGACTCCAAATCAAAAAAAAAAAAGATGT